GCTCTATCGCATGGGCTCTATCGCATGGGCTCTATCGCATGGGCTCTATCGCATGGGCTCTATCGCATGGGCTCTATCGCATGGGCTCTATCGCATGGGCTCTATCGCATGGGCTCTATCGCATGGGCTCTATCGCATGTGCTCTATCGCATGGGCTCTATCGCATTAGCTCTATCGCATGGGCTCTATCGCATGTGCTCTATCGCATGGGCTCTATCGCATGAGCTCTATCGCATGGGCTCTATCGCATGGGCTCTATCCCTCCGTTCACCACCACCACCCCTCCTCTTTTGTTTTTGTTTTTTAGATCGTAAGAACGGAGAACAGAATAAATATAAAAATACATCGCCCGGAGCCATGGGCGCACGCAGAAACTGTCTAGGAGGAGGGGGCAAAAAAATCGATTAACTTTCCAGGGGGGGGGGGGCAAAAAAATTTTAGTAAAGTTTTAATGTAGTTTTAATTTACTGTAGCGATTTTGTATGGTGAACGAACGGACAGGACATCAGCTTAGTTACTTTCTCTTTATTTTCTCTTTACTTTAATACATTTTTTGTCTATTTTTGTCTTAAAAAAATAAAAAAAATCAATCCAGGGGGGGGCAAGTGTCCCCCTTTGCCCCCCCCCCCTGCAGGCGCCCATGCCCGGGGCTGGACTTTGATGAATCAAAAGTTGCCTCTGTATCAGTGCCATTCTGCTGTTACCGTTCTTCATTCACGGTATCCCAGGATGACTCGACAGATGTCATGCGTCGAAGGTTCTCAAGTTACACAATTTTAAATATGAGATCTTTAAAACAAAATATTACTTAACAAATTATTTAAATACTAGAAATGTCCCGCCCATTCGACGACGTCAGCGACGCGTGAACTTCACATCTACTAAAGTGAACTTTACATTCACTAAAATGAACTTCCCATCCTCTAAAATGAACTACCCATCCTCTAAAATGAGCTTCCCAATCCTCTAAAATGAACTACACATCCTCTAAAATGAGCTTCCCAATCCTCTAAAATGTACTTTCCATCCAGTAAAATGAACTTCGCATCCACTAAAAACGAAATTCCCATCAACTAAAGTGAACTTCCCATCCCCTAAAGTGAACTTCCCATCCTCTAAAATGAACTTCCCATCCACTAAAATGAACTTCCCATCCACTAAAATGAACTTCCCATCAACTAAAGTGAACTTCCCATCCTCTAAAATGAACTTCCCATCCACTAAAATGAACTTCCCATCAACTAAAGTGAACTTCCCATCCACTAAAATGAACTTCCCATCCTCTAAAATGAACTTCCCATCCACTAAAATGAACTTCCCATCAACTAAAATGAACTTCCCATCCCATAAAGTGAACTTCCCATCCTCTAAAATGAACTTCCCATCCACTAAAATGAACTTCCCATCAACTAAAATGAACTTCCCATCAACTAAAGTGAACTTCCCATCCCATAAAGTGAACTTCCCATCCTCTAAAATGAACTTCCCATCCCCTAAAGTGAACTTCCCATCCCATAAAGTGAACTTCCCATCCTCTAAAATGAACTTTCCATCCACTAAAATGAACTTTCCATCCCATAAAGTGAACTTCCCATCCTCTAAAATGAACTTCCCATCCACTAAAACGAACTTCCCATCCACTAAAATAAACTTTCCATCCACTAACAATTAACATACCATCGACCCATCCACTAAAGTAACTCGACACATCTTTCAAGTTTATAGCATTTTATTAGAATCCCAAATTAGGACTAGCTTCAGAGAAATTTATTTTGCGTGCCTATTTAACACAACTTTACTGACATAGAAACACATATACCTAAGAGTCTAGAGAATTGTTATATTGTGATTAATAATTTTGTGAAATCTGCATTGGGGGCTCTGCTGGAATATATACGATAGAAAGTTCTCCAGAAAGGTAGTGGAATTCAGACACCGTGAGGGTGGAAAGAACGAATAAATTATTAAACATAGAAGGACGGAACAGAGAGAGAAAGTCAACGCGATAAATTGTGGACGAAAGATTCAAATTTACAGAGACCTCTAAGACCTCTATGCACGGCATCCGAAAAGGAGGGGGGGAAAAACTAAGACATCGGGGAGAATTGGAGGGAGACATTTCGAAGCGAATGTAACTGATAATATATAAGTTGAAATTAGATTGGAAAGTGTTGAAACTGAAGGTCAAACAAAAAGAAATTAGTATTAATTCTTGCTCATGACATATTTTTATTTTGTATTTATTTATTTTTTAAATTATTTTTTTACATTATTTTTTTTTTTTTTTTTGTTTTTTTTTTTTTTTTTGTGGCGGGGGGGTTAATTTTAACACGTTTTTTTTTTTTTTTTTTTTTTTTTTTTATTTTTTTTTTTTTTTTTTTTGTTTTTTTTTTTTTTTTGTGGCGTTGGGGGTAAGACTATCACGATTTTTTTTTTTTTTTTTTGTTTGTTTGTGGCGGTGGGGCTAAGACTAACACGATTATTATTTTTCGTCCTCCGCATTCGCAATGACCAAGATTTGAATCGTGACCTCGACGTGCACTGTATTTTGTTTAAAGTTGGGAAGGGCTCCTAAAGTTCGTCAGCCTCACTCTCTCGTCCTTTCCAATTTGTTTTTTTTTTTTTTTTTTGTTTACCTACACCCTTTTTTTTTTTTT